GTTGGTTTTATAGGTTTGGGGTGGTCAGTGGAAAGTTACAGAGTAAGATCAGTTACAGTGGTGGGGGTAGGGACAAGGAGTATACATTACCATAAGTTCCGTTACAATGGCCGGTGGGATAAAAGTATTATAATAACAGTTAAGATGGCAGGGTGGGGTGAGGGGATTGTCTGGGGAAGCTGCACTAGGTGATTAGGGACAATGGCCCATACAGGTAGGGGTGGGGGTGGGAGATGATTAGGCAAGCAGGACTTCAGACTTTCAGGCTCCCGGCTTGCATATGGAGACCTGACACCAGGGAAGTAGGCTCTTGACTCTTGAGTGTTTTTATTAACTCTCCCACTCCTTGCCTTTAAAAAGCATGCTTCCTGCTTCTCTGCTTCAGCCTAGAGAATCTGAAAACATACCTGTATTGCCGAAATTCCTGTATATTTAGAGACAAATTATCCTAGAATGTTCTGTTTCTTCCCTGGGGAGAAAATCTAAAAGTAATGGGCCAAGGTTTTAATAGAGCATTTGAAGTTAGACTTAAGGGCTGAATTATCTAGGGCATCATACCTGGTTGGCACAGTCATGGGGTGTTGGAGAGGGAAGAACAGGAACCACAGTCATCAGTGTGGCCTTTATCTCTGAATCAGGGGCTCTGTCTACCATAGGGCTTACCTGAAAGCTCCAACAGCTGAGGGATCTATACCCCAGCACTCATAACGCATTTTTGGCATATCCATTGAGAAATGTCAATTAGGGATCAAGTCCAAGGCAGAGATTAGGAGGCTGGGAAACCAAAGAATGTCTAGAAACTACGTTCAGAGCAAGGTCAGACTCTGGCCCTGGGTCAAAAGCTGTTGTTGATTTGGTCAGAAAGTGAGCAGAAGCCTGTTGTGATCATTGCCCCACTTTGGGGGCATTGACAGGAGCCAAAGTATTGCTTTGGTAATACATTAGTTGATATTCTCCATACACATTCCTATTTTAAGGCTGTTCCAGGAGGTAGGATATACCAATTCAGGGCTGTGCCAGTAGGTAAGATATGCCAAATAAAATTGAACATTGAACATGAATTCTAGGATGTAAGATCTTGTACCAGGTAGTTGATAAGGAGCAAGAGTTGAATATTAAGATGGGTGGAGGATGATATATTCTTTAATTATTCATTTACTAAATATTTACGGAGTACTTACTAGGTGTCAGGCACTAAGGGAAAGAAATAAAAGACATTATCTGCCCCTAAGCAGATAAGAAGGGTAAACATTTGCACTAGAAAGTGGGAGGTACCATGGAGAGCGTTCGTACAGATCACTCTAGCAGCCCAGAGGAGGGCATATGAGCTAGCCTTGGGAGAGAAGATGATGTGAGGGTGGACTTCCTGGAAGAAGCAGTGTGCTAGCTGGGTCTTAAAGAGTAAATAGAAGACTGAAAGGAAGGGCATCTCAGGCTGAAGAAGAGTATGTGCAAAGGCACAGAGGCAAGATTCAGTGCAGTGTTTAGGGGAATGCAAGTAATTTACTTCATAGGCTGTTTGTAGGGAAGTAATGTGAGGTAAAGCTACAGGGAAAAAGTAGGTGTCAGATGAAGAAGGGCCTGACATACCATGCCAAGACATTTCACCCCAAAGGCAGTGGCAAGCCACTGAACAGTTTTAAGACAGTTGTGACTGGATCTGAATTTTAGAAGCTCTTTCTACTAATAATGGGGAAGACAGCTGAGCAGAGACAGAGCTGGAAGCCCAGCTCTAACACTGACCCTATTGCCTTCCCACCTGTCTTTATTGTTCCATTCTCTCTATAAATTCTATCTTTTAGCTTATCCACTGGCTTATCCAACCTGATTTCCTGCCACTCTCCAATTGTAGTTAGGTTAACTCAACTTATTCAAACAGGTCTACTCATTTTTGGCTTGTCTATTCAGCAAACTCTTAGTAAATGCCTATTACATACCATCCACAGTGCTTGGCCTGGGGGACCAAGGATGAATGAGACATAGAACCTGCCTTTAAGGAGCTCACAGACCAGTATGGAGATACCATGGAGACACATTGTTACTATAAAGTAAGGTTATGGCTGTGCAGTGGAATAAATACAGAGTACCCTGGGTGCAAAAAGAAGACAGGCTTGGCTGTGGAAAGCCCTTCTCCCATTCTGCTAAATCCTCCTCATCCTCAGGCTCCTGCTTGTATTTTGTATAGAGGCAGGGTAGTTTAATGGGTTGTTGCTTGGCCTCTGAAGCCCACCAACAGAGTTTTAATCCTGGTTCTGTCACTTACTAGCCTTGTGACTTTGGCCAGAAGTTCTTTGTTCCTCAGTTTCTTCATCTGTAAAATGGGTATGATGTCTGCATCAACTTCATAGGCTTATTGCGAGGATTAAAGGAGATAATATGCATGATATCCTTTAGAACAATCCTTTCATGTGTAAAATACTTAATAATTATTAGCTACTATTATTCTGTTTTCACTCCTTTTTTTCAGCATCTATATCATATCGAGAAATTTTAACCCCTATTATCTGTTTGTTGCTTGCCCCAGCTTATGTATTGTCATGTTATTTCTCTCAAGAATGATTTTATTTTTCTTTGAGACAAAATACATTTTATATATATATCTGTACTTTTGGGGCACTTAACAGTATTGGATATGTATTATGGTGATCAGCCATCCCAGTTTTCCCAGGACTGAGATTTCTGGGACACAGGAATTTCTATGCTAAAACCAGGAAAGTCCTGGACAAACTGGGACAAATTGATCAGCTTACATGTAGTAGACACTTCAGTTTGGCTTTTTACTTATTTCTTATTGGACCCAAACCTAATTTGCAAGCAAGCTTTTTGGCTTTGCCACAATTTTTATTTATTGTCTACAGAATATAAATTTATAATCTCTGGTGGTTTTGGTAGGGAAATCCTGAGATTCTCTAGAATTTAATTTGAGGGATTCCTAAAATATCTTTCTCCCATCAGCTGTGGGTGTATATACTAGGAATTGTAGGCAGTCCCATAAGAGCTTTCTTTAACCTGACCCACAGCCCTAGAGGTCTCCCCTTGCCTGTCATTCCCCATGTCTCCCTGCATTTCTGTCATGAGTGGATGACTTCCTTCATCTGCTTTCCAGAATTGACATATCTTGCTTTAACCCAGTGGCAAAACTCACTTCCTCATATGAAGCTGCTGTTTTTACTTGAATTTCTAAGTTGGGGTGAAATGATTTTTGTTTTTCAATCCTGTCTTTCAAGCATTGGGACAATGCAGATGATGACTTTTTCAACTCACTCTCACCAGCATTGGAACAATGTTTGCCTTGGGAAGTTGCTTTTCAAGCAGCATTCCTTATGGATCCCTGGGGCCTCTCTCCAAATTCCTAGAAGCCAAGACAAGTGTTTGCCTGCCCATCTTCCCCAGGTCCCATGCCAGTACAATCAAGAGGCTGGCTCCACAGCCTCTGAAAGTTTCAACTCTAGAGTCTCAGTTTCCTAGGGCTGTCGTAACAAAGTACCATGAGACTGTGACTTAGATAACAGCAATTTGTTTTCTCACAGTTCTGGAAGCTAGACATTTGAGATCAAAGTGTCAGTATAGTTAGTTCTTTCTTAGGAATATGAGGGAGAAAACTGCTCTGTGCCTTTTTCCAACTTCTGGTAGTTTTCTGGCAGTCTTTAGCATTCTTAGCCTTGTAGATGCATCTCCCAATCTCTTCATTCATCTTCATGTGGCATTCTCCCTGTGTGAATATCTGTCTCTTCACATGGCCTTTTGTTTTTTAAAATAAGGACACCCGTCATATCGGCTTAGGGATCTATCCTGCTGTACTATGACTTGAACGTAATGTAACTAATTACATTTATGATTATCCTGTTTCCAAGGAAGGTCGCATTCTGAGATATTGGGGGTTAGGAGTTCAACATGTGAATATGAGTGGGGTGCACAAGTCAGTCCATAACACCCAGGTCTTCAAGTGAGTCTAAAACACTCCTCACAGACAAGCAAACAAAGCACCAGACAGTCATTGCTCATGAATCCATTTCAATTCTCCACTCACTTTGTGTTTGATATTGACTGCTCTACTTGTTCGCCACTCTAGAGTTCTGTGCCAACTCTAGGGATACTAAGTAATATAGTTCACCTGAGTCACCAGATCTAAGTCAGGACATATCAGGAGACTTTCAAAATGAGAAGCCTGCTGAGGAAAAGCTGTATCTGTGGCATATAAAGTAGTAACTATTCTAAAGGCAGTGGCTCCCATCCTGATGAATAATAATTACAAGTTAGTTGCCTTTTAAAATGCTTTGGAGAATACCATGATGTGTACAGATAGGGGGTTGGACGATTATACGTGCATATGTGTGCATGCAGTAGCTTATGATGAACAAAATCACCAGATTCCTCCCCAACCTTCCTACAGACATTCCCTGGGCCCACTGGGAGTAGCCTGCATCTCCTCCCTCTGGCTGTGGCCGCTGCCTTCTGTCAGCTCCCTAGAGTTGCTGATCCCTTCCCCTCCAAAGAAATTGCTCTGTTCCAAAAAGATAAACACCAGTAGTTACAGGGAACTTGAGGAAAAAAGCAAAGCGAGTCTCCCAGTTACTGTTTTTCTGGTGTTCTCACATAGATATACAGACCGTCTTTGTGGGAGTGCTATTTCTGATCCTGGCAGTTACAGCCTGAGATGTGAGGGCAGTGATGGTTTTTCTTGAGAGCAGGGGATAGGGAGCATCTGGGGTACGGAGATTCTCCAAGTTCTCCCCACTTCTTTCTAGGGACACTGCACCTCTGAGAAATCCCAGGGGTGGATGAGGCACCTAGCTGGTGCCCGCCTGTGCAGAGCAGTCAGGCAGGCTGCTAGCTTGCTGAGAGGCGGCGTGCCAGCTCCGCGTACCGCGCCTCAGTGCCAGATCAGGGAGCTGTCGGCTCAGCGCCCACGCCCTCCGCTTCAGCTCAGGGGAGCCCCGGGGTGGGCTGCTGAAAGGCGCAACTGCAACTTGACTTTGTCTCGCTGTTGTTGCTGGCAGAATACGTACACCAATGCGGACAAGCTTCTAGAAGCAGCGGAGCAGTTGGCTCAGACCGGGGAATGTGACCCCGAGGAGATCTACAAGGCAGCTCGACACCTGGAGGTGCGCATCCAAGACTTCGTGCGCAGGGTGGAGCAGCGGAAGCTTCTCCTGGACATGTCTGTCTCCTTCCACACGCACACCAAAGAGGTAAGGGGAGCTAGTGAAGAGAGAGCATTCGGTCCTGCCAGGGTCGGGTCGGCTTCCTAGTAAAATGACCCTGAAGGTCTGACCAGGGTCCTGGGTAGTCTTGGGGTTGCTAACCTCTTAACTTTGGTAATATTAACAATTTGTTCCTGATAACCTGCATTTAGGTCTCTATCAGAATGGGGCAAAATTTCGTCCCATAATATCTAGTGAGGAAAGGGGGTCATGGAGACAGGTGGTTTTGGGGCATCTGCTAGAGCATGCAATCTGCAGCTGGAGAAATGTGGGAATCCCTGATATAGCAATGGTCACTGCAAGAAGAAATGTAAGAGACTCTCTTCCCACTCCACACCTAATTTCTCGTTTGCTGTTTCCTTTCAGAAATGAGAGTCTCACAGAACTTTGATCAGATATCTTTGCTATCAGCAAGGAACATGTAGAGTTTACAGATGCATTTTTTTATGTTTTTATTTTTTTTTAACAGGGGATTTAATCTTCTCTGTGGCAGGGTGATATTAAAGTTGGTCCTCACTGTGCCTGAATATGGAGTAACAGGCATTGAAAGGGGACTCAGATGCCCTCCACCAAGGAACCTGGCTGGGCTTGAAGCCCAACCTGAAAAATTTACCAAGTGGAGAAAGAGGAAGGAAGGATAGCTTATGTTAAGCTGCTGCAAGGGCAGAGGGGCCTCATGGAGAGGAGGATGGTAGCAAACCTATGATTGCTTTTCATTTCTGATTAACATGGGACATGCTGAAATTGAGTAAGTGGCCAGCAAGGAGGCATATTTAGCATCATCTATAATAACACCCTTGGCAGATGAACTCATTAGGTGTATGCATGATTATATCTCCCTTCCCCCAAGGAATTTACTTTAATAGAGTATTAATTAAAGCTTGATTGCTGCTCAGGAAAAAAAAATAGCCCTACTTAATTAAGTTGAATTTTAATATTGGAAATGCGTTAAGAATCTTAGCTGTTACTGCTTCACAGCCCTTTCTGACACCGAGGGAATGAATGTGAACCATTGCAACGCCTATCAGAGAAAAACATGAAAAGATAATGTTCTCTAAACTGAGATTCCCCCCGCAGAAGAAGCGCTGGCAAGCTCCCTGAAGCTGGCTTTGCTTCCTCTCTGCGGGACCTGCAGCCACTCTCTAATGAGTGTCTATAAAGCAAGGGGATTAGCATTAATCCAGGGTTTCCTGTCTGGTTGTCTGCTTGCTTGTGGCTCACCCAATTCTTAATGAAAGTCTCAGAAACCAAAGTCTTGTGTATTCCCTTTTAATTATGAGCCTGTGGGTGACAGAATGGAGTATGAATGAACAGGAGTCATGTTCCTCATGAGGACTGTGGGGGTGCTGGCTGCATGGAGAGATGGTGGATCAGGTCAGTTTCCATGGAACTACTACTCCCAAAAGAGTGATCATGGCTTCCAGGAATTCCTCTAGCTACATCTCCCACCGTGTATACACAGAGGTAGAAGGCTGGGATTCTAGACTAGATTCTGCTGCTAAATAACCATGTGAGATTGTACAAGTCACTATGTCCCTGGCCTTGGGTTTCCTTATCTACAAAATTATGCAGTTGGACTTGGTGGCCCTAAGGCCCCTTATGATTCTAATGTGAATATAAGATTCCATTCTTCTCTTCTTCTTTGTGTTGATAATAAATAATAATATTAATTAAGCTGAAATAGTATAGGTGATTTACCTAGCCAAAGATTTGGCTTATTGTAAGCATTCAAAATATATTACATAAGTTTTTTAATTGGACACCTACTACTTGCCAGACACACATATCATCTCATGTGACCTTCATGATAATCTTATGGTATAGATTTTATTAAACACAGTTTTAAATGGGGAGACTAAGCCTCAAAAAACAACTTGTCTAAGGTTACAGCCTCTCTCAGTAGTACAGCAGAGATTTTACTTGTCTTCCTATTACCTACGCTCTCCTTTTTATCCTTTACTATCTCCTCTTTTCTGTTCTTCCTTCTTTCATTTTTCTTTTTTACATTTATAAACCCCAAATCAGGGGCTTAATGAGGAGGACAGATCTTGGCTGAGAAATATACAGTGTTGCCAGGATTGGGGGTGTGGGAGACAGAAATAGTCAGGGATGAAGTTATTGACTATTGTTTTCCTGGATATCTCTCAAATCTTGCTAAGCTTGGTCCTGTTTGAACCTAAGGCTTGTTTCCTCACTGAAACTCAGCTAGAAAGTCACATTTATGTGAAATACTACTAGAAGGAGTGGTGTGATACAGGGGGCAGATGAAGAAAGAGAGAGAACTGAAATTTATTTAGCACAAACTATGTGCTAGGCTATCTAGCTGGCTAGTTGGTAGCCATGATAATTGTCATTTTTAAAAATTCTAGTTTTAGAAATGGGAAAACCAGGGTTCAGAAAAATTAATAAATTGCCCATGGTTTTATAGCTAGTTTGTAGTAAATATAGAAATTGACCCCAGGTCTTTCTGACTATAAAGGTCTTTCTTTTCTCTCCTTTACCAAAAAGACTTTTATATAAAGGCCAGTAAACAGAGACTTGAATGATTTTTTTTGTCGTCAGAGAATTCATTCAAACAGGAGGCTGTCAGGAAATTGCATAGTCTCTTTCTCCTCAGTCCCAAAATATGAGAGAAATGTGGAGTAGCTCTGCCTGGATACAAAGGGGTTTATGGTTGTGAGGCTCATTCTATTCAACACTTCTACAACTCTTAGATCAGACAGATTTTACTTTTTTTCAGGATGGACAGAAAAGCAACATTTTGAGCGGCTGCCACAGAGGAACTGTTCACAGGGGACATGCAGTGGGACTTTGTATCTGCATGTTCCCTCTTGTTCACCTTCCCATCCAAAGTTGCCTGTATGAGGCCCCCTTTAAGTGATTTGCAAGGCAGGGTAAAACTAAGGTGCGTGTATATACATGCACATACATATATATATGTACATGTATATGTGTACCCATGTACATATGCACACATATGTGTACCTACACATGCAAATGTTCCTACACACTAAGTACACCAAGATCTTGGACACCAGGTAGGTCTGATTTCCAGGTGCTTTGTCACTTTGGGAGAATTACTCTTAATCTCTGTTACTTTGTAATAATTAAGAGGATGACTATTAAAAAATAAAGTAGTACAATACTAACACTCATTTTTTCCCCAAATTTTTCTTAGTGTTTATTTAAATTAGGCTTAATAAGAAACTTAAAGACTCAACTGAGGCATCATTTTTTTTTCTTGAAATTTTTCCCTGGTGCTTCCAACTTTCACCCAGACAAAAGCAGAGCACTGTGCATACCTCCATCAGTGGTGCCATTGTCACATTGAGCTGTGATTCTCTCCTTCACTAAATTGGGAGTGCTAAATGTGTACTACATAGGTGGCATCAGATGTGTAGACAGAGATACTACTGTGTCTGATACATAGAGATGCTGAATCAATATTTTGATGCTTCTTTTCCTATGAAAAGGAAAAGAAAAAGAAGAAGAAAAAAGAGGGAAGAGCCCTCTTTTTTTTCAATCATGTTTTAATCTTCTCCAGTTCTTTGACTTGAGCTCTCCATATATTGTAAATAAAGGGGGCTGGGTGGGAAATCTAACTTGCCGATGGGAGCTTTCCTTTAGGGCCTATAAATAGCAGGCAGAAATGGATTATTAGGGAGGCAGAAATGAGCATCCTTGAATAGTCTCATGAAAGAACTCCTGTGGTTTGGTTTTTCCGTACTCTCTTTAATACCTCTCAGGACTCATCATCTCTCAAACATCACTAAGTGTGCGTCCTACTTGATCCTGAGTCGATTAACTCTTGACTCCTTCCTCTTGACTCTATAGCCAAGCTTCTGCCTTTTTATTCAAGACAGGATTAGTAGTCTATTAGGGAATTCTGAGTTGCCATGGTTGTTTTTCCCTCTTTTTTATTTTTTATTTTTTTTTTAAGACGGGGTTTCACCATGTTGGTCAGGCTGGTCTTAAACTCCCGACCTCAGGCGATCCACCTGTCTTGGCCTCCAAAGTGCTTGGATTACAGGCGTGAGCCACCACGCCCAGCCTCTTTTTCCCTCTTACCATGAATAGAGTGGATAGAAGGAAAATCTACTCAGCTTCGCAAAAGTGGCCTTGGATATTGCTGATAAATATTGTTGTAGATCATTTCTGCCTCGTTATGGCCATCTTCCTCCTCCTTTCTTTCATTTCTTCATTTCTTCCTTCCTATAATAATTTGCTGAGTATTTGTCTTGGTGCCAGTTGGTAACAGGATGTCATCATAGTCTATAATTTTCATGGAATGAAAGCCCCTTTTGTAGATTTCTAGGTGGGAGCTGAATATCCACCTTCATAAATGATTTAACCCAGGCTTCCTATTGACTCCCCCGGCTAAAGTTCATAATTTTACTTTTGCCAGCTTTCCACATCAAAAGATTTATTCTAATTAAGATCAGAGAGGAAACAGGAGGAAGATATGAAAAGATAACCTCGCGGCTCATTTCTTCTGCAAATTCAAGTCTGCTTAATCTTATTGGCTTTGTGAATTCTTTATTTATTGTAGGAGCCTAGAGGGTTAAAAATGTCTAACTATTTCATCACAGTGTTAGTCATCATCTTGAATAATTAGAGACCATCTAAATGTTTCACATTGGGTGATTTCATTAAAATCATAGTGCATTTATATAGTAAAATATTACACAGTCATTCTAAATCACATTGCCAAAGGTCATTAATGACATGGGGAAGAGCTTATTGTGTAACATATAAAAACTGTATATCCGATATGACCACAATTTCAATAAGACATATAGAATAAGGTCCAGAAGGAAATATACCAAGAATTTAAGAATGTTATAAAAGCCCCTTTTGTAGATTTAACCTTTTGGCATTTTTTTTTCTGTTTTTCAAGTTTTTTTCAATGATATTTTAAATTTATAATCAGGGACAATCCAATAAATGTTATTTTTCAAAAGCAAAACTTCATTCCTACTTATAGAGAAGAATTACTCAAGAAAGGCAACAAACATGTACTTGGGACTTTCTTATACATTTAGAGCCTCCACTATTAGTACAAATTGTGCTGAATTTTCAAATACCTTCTTTTTGCCTGGGGCTAAGAGGGCAGCCAGCTCTGTTTTCTGGTCTAGGGAGCTAGGGCAAGTGTAGGGAGAAGCATTGACCAAGTCCTCATTCTCTTTGTCCAGGAACATGGCATTTGTAGCACCTGCCCTGCAGAAATAGTCATCACAGAATTCTCTTTTCTTGCTGTGTTTCCAAGGAAATGCCACAGTCACTTGGCTTGCAAAATATCCATTTCTGGATATTTTTGTAGTATAAATATAAGTCAAGTTAAATAAGAAGTGTGGGAAAAGTAACCAACTTCTGCTCTTTATTAGCTTAATTAAATACCCACTTCTTTGTTTCACCTTGTGGAATCATTCTGCCACACCATTTCCTACTCAAATAAGTACAGACACACCACAGACATTCCCCTATACACATGTTCCTCTACCCACCCACCCTGGAATCAGAACTAAATTGGTCTTTAAGAGGGATGATGGCCTTAAGAACAAAATAGCCTCATCTGCTGTTTCACTTGCTGTACTATTGTACTGTTTATTTAAGAAATAAGCTGGTGGTTCATGCCAAGGAAAAATTATCTTTTCAAAATGAGGGAGGAGATTCACACTATGGAAATGGTGTGCCTTTTAACATCCTTAAAGATTGTTGATACCATTGTTGTTAATCAGTTGTGTCAGGACAATGGCTGTCCAAGCCGTGTAAATGGAACAGCCAATCAGCAGGATAAAGTGATGAAATAAAATGACCTCTTCCCTTAACCACTGGTTTGTAAGCCTCTTTATTTTTCCTACAAACCTCCTAGCTCTTCCTCTTTTGTCTCCCTCCTTTCTGTGTTTTCAGTCGTCCCTTTCTCAGGCTGCCCCACTATGCAAGTAGGAGAGGGTCTGTGGGCTGGCCCTCCCTGAACTCACTGGCTCACTATTAGAGCTAATCTTACGTAGGGCATGCAAAAGCTCCTTTATAACTCTACTCCTGTCAAGGTTCTAGAAATTCTCAAATTGGATCCATTGTTTTGGAGTTAGGTATTTTTGGCCACTACCACATGTGTTTTCTGAAAAAAAAAAAAAAAAAAAAAAAAAAGAATACATAAAACCATCTACATGCATATGTTAGTATGGAGTAAGCAACCATTGCCAAGAAGAGAACAGTACCCTGAAAGAATGGGTCATAGTACACATACATTTTGATCGAGAAGAAAGGGTCTGGAAATGGATGAAACATGAGATTTTTATTTCTGGGGAGGAGGTGGGTTGATGGAGAAGGTATAGTGCTATCATGTTCAACCTTAGTTAAGCAGAAGGTAAAGAGGATCGCCCAAAGGGGAGAAATGAAGACGGAAGACAGTGGGGGAAAAAAATACATGTGGTTATTGCTGCCAAGCTACCACACTCACTCCGTGATTTTACCTAATTATTTCCAGCAAACATTGGCTTATAGTAGCTTGACAGAAAAGATCATTCTGGCTGGGTCTCACTGACTGCTTAATAACCAGTAATGTGGTAGCAGAAGTGTCCTTCTAATTTGGACTCTTTTCAAAGCATATTCTTCAGGGCCAGATCAGAGGGACATACACAGAGGAAACTGATGGGAGATTGAGAGCTAGAAAAATTACAGCCCAAGAAATGGGATATTGACCTTTACTCATGGTTTAGCACACCAACTTTTATTTCTATCTACCTTATGGTGCTAAGCCTCAGAGGTGCTTATTGAAAATTATGAGTTTGTAATGTAAATTTGCTGCCACCAGGCAGTGACTGTGTCTTCCATGTCCACAATTTCACGTCTCTCTCTTCACATCTGGTTTTCTTTTAGCACAATTTCTAGGCTTTCCTCAATTATCCTGAGACAAAGTGGCAAAAAACAGAAAAGAGAAGCCCAGCACAACTTAGTAGCTTGAAGAACCAAATTCGATGTTGATCTTATACAAGCTCCAAAATGAAGGAGTACTTCAAACTTTCCCTCTGCCCTCTGGTGGGAACTGGAGGTGACTTACTGTACTTTTTTAAAGAAGGTGGGGGGTTTGCCGTCTTGGCCAGGCTAGTTTTGAACTCCTGATCTTGTGATCCATTCACCTCAGCCTCCCAAAGTGCTGGAATTACAGCAACATTTTTTTTTTTGAGACAGAGTCTTGCTCTGTCACCCAGGTGGAGTGCGGTGGCACAATCACAGCTCACTGCAGTCTTGACCTCCTGGGAACAAGCAATCCTCCCACCTCAGCCTCCCAAGGAGCCTCGGCTACAGGCGTGTGCCTACATGCCCATCTAATTTTTGTGTTTTTTTTTTTTTTTAAAGTCTATAGAGACTGGATCTTGCCATATTGTCTAGGCTAAAAATATTTTTTAAATGTAATAATACGTAGCACTGATACAGCATTGACTGTATGTCAGGAACTATTGATAAGTAAGGTAAATAAGTTATTTGTATACACACACACACATAAACTTGTGATATTTATCGCAACTCTGGGAGGCAAGCACTGTTATTATCTCCATTTTACTGATAAGGAAAGCCACGGTGCAGAGAGAATCAGGAATTTACTCAAGATTATATAGCTAATATGTCATAGAAATAGGATTTAAAACTTTTTTTTTTTTTTTTTTTTTGGAAACAGAGTCTCGCTCTGTCCCCCATGCTGGAGTGCAGTGGTGCGATCTTGGCTCACTGTAACCTCTGCCTCCTGGGCTAAGTGATCCTCATGCCTCAGTTTCTTGAGTAGCTGGGATTATAGGCACCTGCCACCACGCCTGGCTAATTTTTGTGTTCTTAGTAGAGACAGGGTTTTGCCATGTTGGCCAGGCTTGTCTCGAACTCCTGACTTCAGGTGATCTGCCCGCCTTGGACTCCCAAAGTGCTGAGATTACAGGCGTGAGCCACTGTGCCTGGCCCCTGAAACTCTTAAAGACTATGCTACACTGCCTCTCTGTACAAAAATTTTTCGGAGAATCCATCACCTCTTCCCTAAACACTTAAGTGCACTTAGAAAATGTGTTTTCTTTCTAGACAAAACTACTGCCAGAAAATATGCAGTGACATTAAGCTATCATTATCAATATCCTATACTTCCTGGTTTGATTTGAAATTAGTATATTCATACTTACAGCAACATGTATCCCAGCTTATATGGTCTGGAAAACTTGTTTGGTGTTTTATTTGGAAAGGAAATAAACTGAACTAATTACAACCAGATTTGCAAGCTGATAAATGTCAGGCATGTTGAATAATAATTTGCATTCCCTATAGCAATCAGTACAATGCTATAGGCTTATTAATATTGCAATAAGTTTATTTAAAGCATTAATAATAAGGAACTAGTTCAGCCCTCACAGTCTTCAAAGTGAGCAGGGCAAATCTTATTCTTCCCATTTTGTAGATTGGTAAACTGAGGCTCAGGCAGTCTCACCTGTACAAAAAAGACATTTTTTTAAGGGGGTGTCCACCTTTCTGGCCGCATCCCCTCAAAAAAGACATTCTTTATACTTTATTTAAGGCCTCCAAAGCTTATTAAACTTCCTGTTAACCTCTTCTGCCACATCTAGGTCTTCTCTATCTAAAGAACAAAGAATAACTTGTCCAAAATCTTGAAGGCTATTTTTGTCTCTATTTATTTTTTTAATCTTTCCTTGTTGAAAAGGCCATACTATAATTACCATACTAAGAACTAACTCCAAGAAATAATGTTCTTGAGGTAGACATTTATCTATATTTTTAACAGGGAAGACTTTAAGATGTTAGAATCAGATGGAAACTAATCATTTTATTTCATGCTTTCCCCAACCTACTTTACACATGACGTCATGGAGATCAAAGGGTATAGTGATTTGTGCAAAGGCACCACGAGTAATGGGAGGAACAGAAGCCAAAATCTGCATCTTCTGACTCCATCTGTCAATTTTCCCTCTTTATTGGCTTTTTTTCCTGGTAGAGCCCTGAGCTTATCTTTCCTGATAGTCAGGTGAAGATTCCTGGTTTCAAAGCAAGCATCAGACTTACCTTCCTCTCTCTCATTTCTGAAAATTCTCAGTGAAAGTAGTCAAAAGTGGGCTCTCTGGCAGGCCACTAGAGATCTGTATTCAGTATGATGAGGAAAAGCTATCAATAAATGATTTTTCAGTAACTCAGTTTTAACTCCTCATCATTTCCAGTGCTTATTTTTTTCAAAACACTATACTTAGCTCTTTTAAAGTTGTCTGGCCAGTAATACCTAGTTTCATTTTATCATCTTGAATAACATGGGAAAGTGTCTCGTATATTTATTGAAATTAAGATAAGCCACATCTTTAGCATTCAACTTTTTAACCAATCTAGCAATTTTAAAAGGAACAAAATAGTATGGCATATGTACAGATTATGCTCAATTAATGTGCTTTTAGTTCTTATTGAGCACTACATTCTTTGTGTATTTGCAATATCATGACACATTTCTAAGAATCAATGTGCACAAAGCACATTGCTCCCTTTCCTCTTATCTGAAAGATGAAATAATATTTGTTCATTCTAGTATCCTGTTCTTCCTAATGTCTCAAAATAACTGATCTCCTTGCTCTAAGACCATACCTGTAGGTTTCCCTGAACCACAGGGAAGTTAAGCCAGGGGTGATTCCTGTCATTATGGAAGGCCAACATCAATGGAGTAAACTTAGCAAAAACTGGTAATGAATATAAATGTAAAAACACAAACTGACCCATAGGTGTGTTCATGAGAATGGCACTGACTGGTTGAGAGTAAGTTGGGTGATTCCAGTCTAGCTTCCTTGCCCTCACCCCAGCCCTGGCCTCTCCATCTGCCCTGAGTGGAGTCTCTGCTCTTTCTCCACAGTTGTGGACATGGATGGAAGATCTTCAGAAGGAGATGTTGGAGGATGTATGTGCAGACTCTGTGGATGCAGTCCAGGAACTGATCAAGCAGTTCCAGCAGCAGCAGACTGCCACTCTAGATGCCACCCTCAATGTCATCAAGGAAGGCGAAGACCTTATCCAGCAGCTCAGGTCAGCGCCTCCCTCCCTGGGGGAGCCCAGCGAGGCCAGGTCAGCATGGGCAGAGTTTTCCAGTGTGAAATGCCTCGGGCTAGACGTGAGATAAGTCCTGTCCCAGTCTTGACTCTGCAAAATCTTGCTTTGTGGTCTTGTGTGAGCTTCAGTTTCTTTATCTGTAATATGTAAAAATGCCTGCACCATACCCAACTTGAGTCTAGAATGAAATACTAAATGGAAAGGCTTTAATGTTTCAAAGCATTATTTATCATTCAGGATGTTATTCAGCAATCAGTAAGTAACATAAATACAACAAAAATTAACAAAAGACAAAAATATTAACAATAGTAAAAAATCATTAAGAATTAGTGCATATTTGCTCATGCAGAGAAATAGACATTATGGAATATAATACTGACGCTGGGTCTTAGGCTAAACTCTGTCCTCCACTGCCCCCGTGAGCAAAATTGGAGCATTTTGCTGATGTTTGACTTTGGACCCATGAAGACGTAGAAAAACTGTGGTGTTGTCCTACCAAATCCCTGTTACCCAGTTATGACCTTTCACCATTCCTTGCTGCCCAGAAAATAAAACAACTTCTGCATCAACCTAAATAAACATAACTAAGGAGACAAATCCTGTCTAAAAATCTTACATTTGTTTAGAATTACCCAGGCCATTGCCTCCTTTCCATTGGCATCAATATCTAGTTTTCTGCCCCTGTCAAGCTCCTTAGATAAAGTGTCATGAGGCCTTAAGCAAGCCCCCAGCAACCAACCCCATGCCCAGGTGCTGTATAAATAGGATTTGATGGTGCTAATGATGCCTGCCCACAGGGATTTGTTCCTATCCCAAAATCACTGAGTGCTGGGACCTTTGCCAGCTCTGGACGGAAATAATCTCATCAGCAAGTCCCAGGCTGGCCCTACGGCCTGAGGGAATTACTTCAATTGAAGAGGGTTTTTTCCCTCCAATACCAGTTGTCCAATAAAATAAACAATGAGAAATTACCTTTAGAAGGCCCTGGCATGTTTTTCTGTTACAAATTAATAATTTCTATTCTAAACATGCACATGAGATGCTCCAAATCCTCCTACTGCATACTAACAAGACGGCCTCTTTTCTTTCTTTGCCTAATTCATCTTGGTGAATATATAATACATGACAGCTTTGTCTGCCTCCCTAGGAAACTCCACTGTCATTTGCTTCTGCAGAAAATTCCAAACAGTGAACAGTCATTTAACCTCTCTGGGCCTCAGCTGCTTCGTCTGTGTCATTAAGGGGTTCACTCCAGGATCTCTGGCAGCTCTAGAATTCTGCAATGGCTTTGTGTCATCTATTCAAATACTTTTCACAGGCTTGGCTGGCTTCACTTTCTGTGGGGCTAGGCCTATGGAAATGCCACTTGTTCTTAACAACTGTAAACCTGCACAGAGCCTAAGGGCATAATGCTACTTGACAGTGGCAAACGCAGCGATGTGGGTGATGCCTGTTCCATGGGTTTCAGAGAGTACCGTAGGCATATAACCAAGAGCCACTGGTGACCATTCATTGTGCCACTAATCTGACTCTAGCCTAGGCTCCCCACCGACATCAAGGCAAGTCAAAGAGAAAAAGAAGTAAATGGTGCTTAGTGGGCATTGGCAAGATGCCTCGCAGACAGCAGAAACATCTTCCCTAGGTCTTCTGATTTTTCTGACACTCATCACTAGAGCACCTAAGGGAGCTTTTGCATCATCTCTGTGATTCCCAGTGAGTGTGACAGTGACATAGTGCCTCATAAAATGGTCAGAAATCATTCTCTTCCTTCTGGAAGATGTGTGATGAAGAAAGACAGAGGAGGAGACCAAGAGAATAATTATATCCTCCCAGAAGCAAAGCCCTCAAGAAATACATAACAGATAGCAATGAGTACATCTCTTATGTTCTTTTCATGCCTTCGAATGTCCATGCAGTTGTGGGAGTAGAAACTGTGCCTGTGTCATGACCAAACAGGACAGGGTGAGAAGGCAGGAATTGGGAGCCCTCTGAATGCTAGGGGAAGGGCACTTGTCAAATTAGCCTTATGCCATCTTCAGAAACAGAATGAGCTCAGGTACCATTGCTTCTGAGACAAACACAGGCTAAAAGAACATGGCTTTCAGAAAGCCTGCTGATGAGATGATTGGAAATAAATTATTTTCCCCTTGTCCTCTGACTCCTTAAATTGTATGAGAAGCTAAGATGTCACAAGATAATGGATGTGCCAGCTTATTTCAAGTTTTAGTGCCCTAGCTTACTCAAGGCCCTGTGGAATCTAAACTTCTTAGCCTCCACTATTTTCCCATTATAGTTTGCACCACCTCATTTTGCTGAGCAAATCAGTCTGTTTATCCCTTGGTTCCCCTCTACAAGGCATCACCTCTCCCTACTACTTTTTTTTTTTTTTGAGACGGAGTTTCGCCCTTGTTGCCCAGGCTGGAGTGCAATGGCGCAATCTCGGCTCACCGCAACCTCCGCCTCCTGGTTCAGGCAATTCTCCTGCCTCAGCCTCCTGAGTAGCTGGGATTACAGGCATGCGCCACCATGCCCAGCTGATTTTTTGTATTTTTAGTAGAGACGGGGTTTCACTATGTTGACCAGGATGGTCTCGATCTCTTGACCTCGTGATCTACCCGCCTCGGCCTCCCAAAGTGCTGGGATTACAGGCGTGAGCCACGGCGCCCGGCCTACTTTTGTATAGACTCTCTCTGCTCAGAGGAGGTCACACCCTCTCCTATTACTTGACTGTGTTCATCCATTTCTTCAAACCCTGAAATCAAAACTCCTTGCAACCTTTGTTGTTTGTCCCAGCTTCTTATGAGCTAGTGTTTTACTCTCCTGATCAGCACTTGACGCTGCACTTGTGTCCTTTCAGGATTAATAATTGTCCATACAACATGTTACTGCCTTTAGTTCATGTGCACTCTTACTTAAAAGCAAACTGTGAAATGAGCAGGCAGAAATTGTTAAGTCCACTGCTATTAAGTCCACTTGACAGATAAGGCAGCTGAGGCTCAGAGAGGTGATTTCCCAGGGCCACCAGCCAAATGTATCAGAGCAGAGACCTAATTCAGGTCTGCAGGCTCCATATCCTATGCTTTCCTAAGTACAGCCTGAGCTGTTTAGTAGACTAACGCCAGCCCATAATTTTAGCATAGCTTTATAAAGTGCATGCTTACAATTTTGACAACCATGACATCATCTGTTTTAACAAAGAGTCTGTGAAGTAAAACTAGGAAGATTTATTTAAAATATGCCTTTAATACATCTGTATGTATTTTAATAGATGTATATGTGTGTATTGAAACTATATGTATTAGACTACATATATATGTGGAACCATTCCATTTCTCTGATATTTTATGTGTTGTAGAGTTTTTTCTCATACATTATTTCGTCTTATTTCTTTCACAATTCTGCTTGAGGAGAACAACTAGTCTTGGAAATAGACTTGTGAACCCAAAAAAGGATGTGTGTATCTTTGATTCATCCATTAAGCAGATAGCATCAGGCTCACAGAAGGAGTCTGATAAATGTCTGTTGATTGAATGACTCAACTGATTCACATCCACCTTGCTCAGATGGAGAAGGTCCCCCTACTTCTCTGTCACTTTTAATATGGCAAGGCCTCTCTCTCTCTTTTTTCTTCCCACTCTGCCACAGGGACTCAGCTGTGTCCAACAACAAAACACCCCACACCAGCTCCATCAGCCACATCGAGTCGGTCCTGCAGCAGCTTGATGATGCCCAGGTGCAGATGGAGGAGCTATTCCATGAGCGGAAGATTAAGCTGGACATCTTCCTGCAACTGCGCATCTTTGAGCAGTACACCATCGAGGTAGTAGGGGGCCAGGAGGGGAGGTGGAGAGGGGCCAAGAAGTGCTTCCTGGCTGAGGGCACTGCCCCAGAGACAGGGCAGTAGCCTAAGGAAATTAGAGCATCCAGCATGCATTTTTAGAAAGCAAGGAACTCCCAGTCCACCATGACATACTCCTTCCAGTCCCTCTCATCCCCTAATGCTATGCAGAGCCCGTCTGTTTTACTTACTGTCTGTAGATTACTTCATTGAGAAATGTTTGTTTGTTTTGTTTTGTTTTTGAGATGGAGTTTCACTCTTGTTGCCCAGGCTGGAGTACAGTGGTGCAATCTCAGCTCACTGCAACCTCTACCTCTCAGGTTCAAGCGATTCTTCTGCTTTAGCCTCTTGAATAGCTGGGATTACAGGCATGTGCCACCACACTGGCTAATGTATTTTTAGTAGAGATGGGGTTTCATCATGTTGGGCAGGCTCTTGAACTCCTGACTTCAAGTTATCTGCCTGCCTTGATCTCCAAAAGTGCTGGGATTACAGGCATGAGCCACCATGCCTAGCCAAGAAGTTTTTTATTGCTATCCATTAGACTCTTACTTGGTATTATGGTTCCTGAAATACTATGAGCTGGTAGTTTGATGATTGGAGTAGAGTTATTGAATTTCTCAGCTTTAAGAATGGGTAGATATTAAAATTAGGTGGCCTCCTTAGAGCCAATAATATATATTACACATTAGATTCAATCACACAGCAGTTAAGAAGCCAGGTGTCACAGGAAGAGGAACCTGCATCTGCAATTTGATTTCTACCTGTTAAGAAAGTAAGTCTGTGCTATGACCATTTGTTGGTTCATCTCATAGACTCCTCAGTTTATTTTTGGAAGGTTGGAATCACATATTCTGGTCTATTTATGTCCCTTTTATCATGCCAATTAGTAATGTAGCCAGGTCCATACAATTTCTGTGGTATAAGGAATATCTAACATAAGGTACTTTTTCAGAGATGGCAAAGGGTTAAATTAAAGGCATGTCTTCTCTTTGCTCCTGGCTGGTATGGTAGGAGGGAAAGCCAACTTTCCACCCACCATTTCTTAACTTTGTTTTCCATTCCAACCATCTCTCTGGAGTTAGGGTTTCTGGAGGGTGATCTTCCCAATAATATCTGTGGAAACTTCAATGGAACAGCTTTGGAAGGAAAATTATTTTTTTTAATATATTGAAAGCTCCAATATCCCATCCTAATCCAACTCAGTACCAGAGACCATCTTGGGAACAGCTCCCCTTTGCTTTAATCCCGGATCCAAAAATGTTCATATTGAGAATCTGAAATGTAAAAGAAAAGCAACTGTAAAGGTATTCATCTTTCTATCCCTTACTCTCTTAGAAGCACATCTCTACCCCTGCCTCCTTGGGAGTTCTTGTAATTTCTTGCTTAAAGACTTCATGTTCTAAAAGGTGCTTTCTGGACAGGTCCTGGAACAAAGGAGAAGATAAGCCTTTAAATCCAGACCTTAACTATGCTTCCAACTGATTTCATAACCTAGGTGAATTTATTTATACTTTTTATTTATTTTGAATCTACTCTCAGGATTTCAGGTGGCAAGTAGTATCAAAACATGTTTTGAGAAACAATCAAAATGCCAGTGGAAAAATAAAGATATTGGCATGTGGTGAAGAGTGTATATAGTGAACATTGTAAAGGTGGGGCAACAAGGTAATAGAAAAAAAGAAAGGGTATGTGGGTCATTGTTCTTTAGTAATTTGAATTGAGATGTACAGAAATAAATACAGTTTAAGTTGATTAAAGTAGCCCAAGGCAGTCCTGCAGTCATTCATCAGCTCCATTTTGCCCTCTGGAAGTGAATATATCCAGGGAGGAAATTATGTTAGCAGGTGTGGGGGTTTTGCAATTGTACTTCTTATTAACTCTCCTGTCATTCCAGGTCTACTTCAAAACATGCTTAAGGGAGAGGAAGTCATCTGAGGGTTGGAATTAAGTTTTATTTGAAAAGATGACTGTGGCCTGGAAGTCAGGGTCGCTGGTTCAGTGCTGGAATGGGTCAATTAGCTTTGCTTTGACATCGGCTACACCTCTGACATCAGCTGGGGGCATCACAAGGGTGTCTTTGCTTGGATTGATTCTAGGCAAGTCCAGTTCCACTCGAAAAAACAACCCAAAACATATGGAGAAAATATCCTTTAAAAAATGTGGGTTTAAATCAAATACATTAAAATTGGATCTGGCTTAAATGTTACAAGAGAGGAATTTGATACTTAAACTATGGGGCCGGGCATGGTGGCTCACACCTGTAATACCAGCACTTTGGGAGACTGAGACTGGCAGATCACTTGAACTCAGGAGCTCAAGACCATCCTGGGCAATATGGTAAAACTCCATCTCTACCAAAAATACAAAAAATTAGCAGGGTGTGGTGGTAAGCACCTGTGGTCCCAGCTACCTGGGAGGCTAAGATGGGAGGATCACTTGAACCCAGGAGGTGGAGGTTGCAGTGAGCTATGATCATACCACTGCACTCCAGCCTGGGTGACAGAGTGAGACCCTATCTCAGAAAAAAATAAAAAATAAACGAATAGATTATGGGATTTGCATTCTTCAGCCTTTGTATAAAAATTCCTCTTCCTACCCCAAGTACTGGATAACAACTAGACAACCTGGAATGCAGGAGAGCAAGGGTGTGAGGGCCTCATAAAATAAGGGAGAGAAAAATCACAATGGCCAGCTGTGGTGGCGCAAGCCTGTAATCTCAGCACTTTGAGAGGCCAAGGCAGGCAGATCGCCTGAGGTCAGGAGTTTGAGACCACCAGCCTGGCCAAAATGGTGGAACTCTGTCTCTACTAAAAGTACAAAAATTAGCCAGGGATGGTGGCCCATGCCTGTAATCCTAGCTACTTGGGAGGCTGAGGCAGGAAAATCACTTGAACCCAGGAGGCAGAGGTTGCAGTGAGTTGAGATCGTGCCACTGTACTCCAGCCTGGGCAGCAGAGAGAGACTCAGTCGCAAAAAAAAAAAAAAAAAAAAAAAAAAAGATGGGATTTTGTATCCTCTGGTGTAGGCTATTACATTCAGATTTTAGAAGGGGTCTTGTTCCCTTGTCTTGTGGGGGAGGCCCAAAAGCTTGGGGAGTATGCTACATCTAATCTTAGAACAGGAAATCCTGCCAAACCTATGGAAAAGTTCTGCTTCAAGTCAGATTGTCAGAAGTTATTTTTGAGGGTGATGATATTATTCAAATACCAGCTATGTCTCACTGTGGGATGAAGAACAAACTTGTAGAGATGCTTCTGAGTGTGAAACTGAGGGTGGTAACGAGAGGCATGTCAAAGCTGACATAAGCCAGGGCAGGATCTGTGATTATAGGACCTACAGTGTGGTTTCTTTCCTAAAGGAAGGCATTTGATAGACATGCTCCAAATTCCTTGGGATTACTGAACCCTGGAGGAGGCTTGCTACCCTGCATTTGAGACATCTAAGAGTGACACCTTAGCTGTATCACTGAGAGCCGAGATGAGCCAGTTAATGTAGTCATTAGGATAGCACATGGGTTGCTGCACCAATCTCTTTTTACTCAGTAATAATGGTGCTCACTTTATAACCTGGAATGAGATCATAGGGTGCCCCCACTTAAAGTGAAATATCCTAAGTTTGCTAGTCAGATGTTCAACACCAGGACCATAGCTGAGACCAAAGAGATCTATAGTGGAATATGTTGTTCTATAATGTTTTCCATGTAGGTTCAGCCTACCTCTATGAAAGGCATTTTATATAAACTGGTTATTATAGAAGAGACATTTCAGCAAATACAAATGTTTATTTTGTGGTGGTAAGAATATGGGTGATTTTTTTTTCTTATTTTTTGATGCTTTCTTGCATTTCTGAGTTTTCTACAATTAGGATAATCAGAAAGAAATGAAAAATATTTTTAGAAGCAAGAATAGGCCAGTGGTCTCCATTTTTTATTGTGTACCCTCTCAATGTTTTTGAACTTACATCCCCCTACATATAAATATTTGTTCATTTTTAAGTTATAAAAATGTTCGGTCACTGGCTAATTATTTCAAAACTCAACATGCTCTTTGGGAGAGGTTTAGCTTTTTCATTAGAAGTTGTGGGTTCCATATTTCAGATAGTCTTCTGATAATTTCCAATTATTTTTTGCCTGTTTTCTTGACAGATCTTGTTAGATTGTCATTGTTGCCTTTCCCCATATGTGGCTGACAGATAATTCAAAATTCTCTTATGCTTTCATGATTAGTATTACCTTCAAACTGCAATTTCTTTGCAGGAATCTCATTAAACCATGTATCTTTTTGTGAAGGTTAGTTTAGTTAAAACTAGATAGTAGATAAATCTGTTTAACTGGACACATTTTAAAAAAAAGCAGTAATTTGAAATAAGCTGAAAGCAATGAACAAATGAGCCACAGTCAGCCCCACTGAGTTGCAATACTCCTACCTTCCCTGAGGAGCCCTCTTTTTCATGCACTACACAAAACCATCCGCCATGTGGTCAGAGTAAGACTCCAGTACCAGTCTACTAATGAAAATCCTGGGAAATTTTATATACTTTGTATTGGCTTGATAAAATATACGTGCACAATATAATATATATACGCATACATGCGTATTTATATCAAGATAGTTTTTCTCTCTATTATCGATGGATAATTTTGGGCATTTTCTGCAATGGCCATACTCATGTTGGAAAGTCCTAGAAATGACACAAGAAAGATATTATAGACAAGGAACTTGCGGAAAATAAGGGCCACATTTATGGTCTTTCTTTGTAATCTCTGTGTAATTGCAAGCAAAGTGTGCTCAATGCACCTGAAAGTTTATCTGAGTAATTGACCTGAATAGAGAATGATATACCAATTCTAAATCTATGGGATTGATATAAAACAAACAGGGGTCAGGCTAAGGCCAGGAAGAAATGGTATTCAAGGAAGAAACTTCTGCCTATAGAAGATATGCTGATTACAATTTACTGGTGGTCTCAGCTCTTTAATT